CACACACACACACACACACACACACACACACACACACACACACACACGTATATATGTGTATGTGTATGTATGCATGTATCTTGGAGGCTTGGCAGTTAAGAGTACTGACTGCTCTTCAAAAGGACCCACATGGTGGCTTACAACCATCTGTTAGCTATGCATGTGGTATACCAATATATATGAAGGCTAAACACACATACATATAAATTTTTTAAATGTATAAAAATGTATCTTAGGACCAGAGAGACAGCTCAGCAGTTAAGCATGTTTGTTCTTCCGAGGACCTGAATTTAGTTTCCAGTATCCATGTTCACATGGCTCACAAGCACCTGTAAGTCCCAGGAGCTCCAATCCCCTCTTCTGGCCTCCTCAGGTACCTGCACAAACCTGACACATCTACACAAAAACATACACATAGATACATAAGTAAAAATGATCAAAAGTTTATAAAAATAAATCTTTTAGAAAAATCTACAAAGATGTGCTTTTGATTTTAAGATTAAGCCTATAAAATAAGTACATCTAAAATAAAGGGATCATCCTCCTTTGAATCTAAATACTGTGCCTATCAGAAATAAATACACCATTTTAAATTAAAATCTGCAAGACCCAGGTACGATGGCACCTGCTGGTAGTCACAACTTTCAGGGAATCTGAGGCAAAAGAATCATTTAAGCCTAGTAGACCAGGCTGGGGAGCCTGGTTACTGAGTATATTCCTATCTCAAAAACAAAACTGCTAGGTATGGGTGGCAGTCCAGCCTATAAATTCCAAAAAGGTAAGAGATGGGAAACAAGAGAATGAACAGCCACAGCTACATGAAAGCCAGAAGTCCCCACTACAAAAACCACATATAGTTCTAATAGAAGCAACTTTGTTTTTAATTAGTTCAAAGACACTTATACGGGCTGGAGAGACAGCATGGTAGATAAAGAAAGCTGCCAGATTCAATGATGTTCAGCAATCCTACAGTGATATGGGAGGCAGACAGGAAAATTTCCCAGAAACTCTGAGGCCATACATCCTGGAGTGTGCCCAGCAGCAGTCGAGAGAGCCTGACTCAAAAATAAGTTATAAAGAGGGAACCTCCACAGGCATTTCACAGCAATATTCACATACCCCACACATTACACCTCTCTTATCTGTATGCCTGCCTGTCTGTCTGTCTTTCTCTCACACACACACCCCTTCCGTTTTTAAATGACTGGCTCTCACTAAGAGGGAACATCTACTCTTACAATGAGTGGTACTAGCCAAAGGCATTTTTACATTATCTAAAGACTGGGAAAACAATGAAAAAAAACCTACTCCATACAACAGGTATGGTGGTGCACACCTACGATCCCAGCCCTTGGGAGGCAAAGACAGGATTTTCACAATCTCAGCACCCTGGTCTACACCTTAGTTCTGGGCTCGTCTCAAAAAAAAACAAAAACAACAACAACAAAAAAAAAAAAAACAA